ATAGGGTAGGTAGTCATGGGGTAGGTAGTCATAGGTTAGGTAGTCATATAGGGGAAGGTAGTCAGGCAAAGAGTAGGTGGTCACACGGTAGGTGGTCATAGAATAGATAGTCATAGGTTGTATGTCATTTAGTAAACATATATTAATAAAGTAATAGATATAAGTTACAAAAAGCTATTAAGCTAGCTTTTTTCTATTTGTTCTATTACTTATGTTCCAATGTTAACCGTTTTCTCCCCTTCATTTTGTTAGCCGTAGTAGACCATGGCCTGAACGGAGACATTAACCCTGTCCTACCACACGAGGGCACTGTCTTTGAGAGCAATCCTATAGACAACGAGAATGCCAATGTCAAGTTTCATGTAGAGGTAAATAATTATTTATTGCGACCAAGTGACAAGGTCTTATAGTAATACCACTTTGTTAATCCATTGTTAAAAGCATTTTATTGTTTTATTGGCGTTATATTAAGCAATGACAATGGTATCACTTGGTAAGGATGTTCAGATAATAAGTACCAGATGATCGATGGTGATGACTAGATGATGATGGTGGTGATGATGATGATTATGGTGAAGACCTGCAGATGATGATGATGAGGATGATGATGATCATATGATGATTACCAGATGACGATGGTGATAAGTAGATGATGATGATGATGACCATATAATGATGCTGATAATGATAATGATTATGGTGAAGACCTGCAGATGATGCTAGTGATGATGATGATGAACATATGATGATGCTGATGATGCTGATGCGATTATGGTGAAGACCTGTAGATGATGCTAATGATGATGATGATGAACATATGATGATGCTGATGATGCTGATGCGATTATGGTGAAGACCTGTAGATGATGATGGTGATGATCATGATGATCATGATCATGATGTGATAATGTTGTGATGACCAGATGATGCTAGTGATGGTGATGATGAACATATGATGATGCTGGTGATGATCATGTTTATGGTGAAGACCTGCAGATGATGCTAGTGATGGTGATGATGATCATATGATGATGCTGGTGATGATGATGATTATGGTGAAGACCTGCAGATGATGATGGTGATGATCATGATGATCATGATGTGATAATAGTGATGACCAGATGATGCCAGTGATGATGATGATGAACATATGATGATGCTGATGATGATGATGATGATTATGGTGAAGACCTGCAGATGATGCCAGTGATGGTGATGAAGTTGATGGTTATTACCACCGACCAGCTAATGATAAAATTTGGTATAGCGGATTATTATGATGTTCGTAATGTTGATCAGAGGAAGCTTATGCTGTTGCTGATAGATATGATTATGGGGGTGACAATATGATGATGATATGATGATAATATGATTATGGGGAGCATATGATGATGATGGATGATGCGATGATGTTCCGTATGGCAGATGATATAAAAATAATTTATGAGGATGACGATATGCTATAATAATGATCATAACACAAAATGATTGATGATGATGATAATGATTCTTCTTAATTTTAGGATATTCCAGATAAAAATCCCTTATATGCAGGAGACCTAACCCAATTGCCAAAGCCCGTAGAAGAAAATATTGCACAGACAAGTACCCAGTACGCCCAATCAATTACTAATGGGCAAACATTGAGCCCCAAAGAAACTTCTACAAGGGTCCCATTGCCAAAGACGCCCCAACAACATTTGCCTACAGAAGCACTCACTCGCGTTGCGCAGTCTGTACATAACATCCAACCAGTGGATAATGTTCAGATAAATAGCAACCAAGGAGCTTCTACAGGGGCGAAAACAGTAGCAGAACATCTACAAATGTCTGCCAAGAATATAGAGACGCCACTTGTTGTTCAAAATACTCATCACATCCCGCTAGGGGATAATGTCTATGATGGCAACAGGAAAGGAACGTCGACTTCAATTCCCACTCCTGTCCAAGGAATAACACCACCGCCCATTTTTATGCTTGACTCTGGTCTACTTAAGAGTTTTACGAAACCAAGCAAGGACATCCAATCGACGACAAAGACGATGCAAGGTGACTTTGCCACTAAAGTGTCTCCTGATCAAGCTTCGTCAAATGCAGAACAAAAAACAGATAGTGAAAGGAACAACCCAGTCATGACCCAGTATTCGGTTAAAGATTTTACGCACCCCATTCTAAAGCTCGCAGAAGGTAATAATGCATTTGCCATTGTCTACAATGGTGTGGTGTGGTGTGGTGTGGTGTGGTGTGGTGTGGTGTCAGGTAATATAAGGTTATATATCATAATACTCGATAACGGTATTTTTTATCCTTTGTAAAACAGAAATAGAGATACCACCCTCTCCTGTTCCTGGTCTATATTCTAACCTGAAGGAGAGACACTTCAAAATTCGCAGAAAGAAGAGATCAACGGATGACGAATATCCAAAACATCGCCAGGTCAGTCTCGTTTAACAACATTGCTTCCACTATAACTAAGGGGGAGTTAAGGATAAAAGACAATTGAATCCTTCAAGGATGCAAATGCGCAAATAATATACAAATAATCATTGTCAAATTCAAAGGAGTCGTTTTCAGATTCACTAGAGTCATTGTTATGAGTGATTGTCGAGTTATTGCAGATTTGCTAGAGACAAGTGTATGTATTTAAGTGGCCAAGAGTACATTTCAGTACACTAGACTAATTATGAAATATTTATTTTCACTGACAGACGGATTGCACAGAAAATGTTTCGATGTTTCCAATATCGTACATCTGGGGTATTTGTGGCTGGGCTTGCTTTGTGGTAACCTTATGGCTTTATCTCAACGAAAAACTAAGGTAAGCTGGCATTTTGAATCTTAATCCACATGCAGTTTGAACATCAATACTCCGCGTCCAAGCTTTTTACTAGGCTTTCGAAGGCTATGCAACAGTGTAAACGCCAATCAAGATGATAACCATAGAGATACGTGGTTTGTCTATATATATAGACATCATATAGAGGTTTTGCACCATCACGTGCCCGCATCCCATTATACAGCTTGGACTACCTGTGATTAGATGGCAGAACAATAAAATCCCTTTGCTCTCGGGAATTGAATTCTTATGTAAAACGTTTGTATTATTCCTGCCATCTAACATGGCTGCCGTCACGTGTGTTACAAAATCTCTATTGTTTATTTTCTAAGATTCAATCTCAATAATATGAAAAAACAAAACTAATAACATGTAATTATAGAGTGTAAATTGAATATATACTTTGTTCTTATTTAGATGTTTCGACTATGAACCGACTATAGTCTTTATCAGTTATGTTACTGAGAAAGTCTGCGCGAGGATATATTTCAGAAATACAGCGTGTGCTCGTGCCATTATTCTAATGAAGGAATGACGGAATCTTAAGGTTTTCATATCTCTACTCCTCCCCCCTTAGGCTGCGTTCATAATCTATCGCAGGGGGGGGGGGGCAGGTGAAAATTTGAAATTGCCAGAATAATTCTTAACAACCCCCCTTAAAGTCATGCAAAAAAATACGAGCCCCCCCTAAGCAAGGCTTGTAGCTTCTTCCAAAAATTGTGCATCCCCCCCATTTTTCTGATAACAATTTGTCCATCCCCCCTAAATTTCACCTGCCCCTCCTCTGCCATACATTATGAACGCAGCCTTATATATATATAGCTTGCATCTCCTGATTTTTCTTTCTCTTTTGTTATCGTTCAGTGTCTGGGCCAGAATACTTAAGCTCTGCACGAGGAGAACACACCAAGACCCAGAAGACTTAGAAAGTGGTCCTCAGATTAACCCTAAAGAAAACAAAGAAATAACAATCTACGAGAAAAGGGGCAGACGTCCCTCGGGATTCGGGATTGTAAAAATCAACAAAGATAGTATTGAGTTAATAGATGAATCCTACTTGACTGAAGGGGTTGCCAATCATCCATCTGTTGCTCCACCCCAACCTGCAGTCGAAAACGCCGAAGAGTTTGAGATGGGAGCTTTCCACAGACGTGCTTCGGAAAAGGTTAAAGTTATTCGAAGACTTTCTTCTTTCAATGGCTGTTCTTCCCTTGAAGATCAAATCCTTTTGGCCAAAGAGGTCATAGATAATGATGTTGCTAGCGACAGAAAGGAATTTTTACACATGATCATTTTTCCATGGCTTGGGCATATAAAGGCTCTAAGATAAGTTCTGACCAAGTTAACCAGAGAACCTTATATTTTCGTAATTATAATTAATGGTTACTGTATTTGTGAAAACGTTACTGACGGTCAAGGCGTCCTGGGCCCGGTTGTACGAAGCCTGGATAGCGCTATCCGACGGATAAATCTTATCCAGTGGATAAATTTATTGGATAACAGCATCGACTTATCCAATGGATAAGGATTTATCCGCGGGATAGCGCTATCCAGGGCTACATATTAATAGTTACGTTTATTTTTTTCACCCTTGACAGGTGTCAGAAAAGCGAAAGGTAATTAGGGAGGCTACTGCCAACGAGAGAAGAGGCTCCCTTCAAGATGAAGTATGTGTTAACATTAGCAAAAGCTACATTTAATAAACAGTGTTTTCGATACTAACTTGGCATAATATTTTTCAGATCGAATTCGCTCGTTCTGTCATTCTTCCTTCTGACGTCGTCAAGGAGCAAGACGAGGATGCGATGCATCGGCGCCAACAAATCAAGGCACAGACATCTGGCAGGAGGACATCACTGCTTGAAGAGATCATCGTTGCCAAGGAAGTGTTGGGTGTTGCCAATGACGTTGCTCCTTGAGGTAAGTATGGGACGCCAGTGAAAAAAAACCTATAACTTGGCCAGATTTTATGACTGATACTCCTTGTGTGTGCACTGACGATGGAAGTGGTGTTGGTGGTGATGATGTTGCTGGTAGTGGTGGAGGTGTTGGTGGTGGAGGTGGTAGTGGTGGTGGTGGTGTTGGTGGTGGTGGAG